ACACACACACACACACACACACACACACACTTTAATTGGTTACGAGTATGTGCTGACTCTAATTTAACATGAGTTTGAATGTAAATTGGTTAAATCTGAACATCTAAAATCTAAAAGGGTGTGCACACTTATGCAACCACGTTATCTCAGCTGTTTATTTTTATTTCACCTTCCTGAAAGATTGCTGTTTGTTTTTTGATTGCATTGTACAGGTTATAGGTCACATTAAAGGTGGAAAAAGTTGTGAATATTTTTGTCTTGCTGTCATTTTTGTTACATCACAAAAACTGGCCATTACCGTTCTTTAATACTGAGCTCAGCTTGTAGATGTGAGCAGTTCAGAGTAAAACCAAACCACTAAATGTTTGAAAAACAAAAACAAACAAACAAAAAAAGGCTCTTTAATATATTAGACCTAAATTCTGGAATTCAAGATTGGTGCAATTTTCAGAAATGGTCAATAACTATTTGGGGTCAACTCTGCCTGATTGTTAACAAAACATCTTGTGGAAATTCTTTTTTTATTGACRTTATTCTTACATGAACCCCCTTAACTAATTAATGTTTGAATTCAAGATGGTCACCATGGCCAGCTGACCTCAGAAAACACAAAAATGGCTTTAATTCGGCTCATTTTTTAGATATTGCTGGTGAGTCATCTTGAGGGTGACACCTTACGATTGTACAGTGTCGAGAAAGAGTATTGTTCTTAAAGAATTAGGATCTGAAATGAATTGYACATTACACCATGGGTCATTACTTACACTAAACCCTGCTTGATGATCTTTTAAAGACAAAAAAAACACCTTTCTTATCATCTGTACATTTAATGATCTGGCAATGCTATATGTTTAGGAGATTTACAAAAATGAATAGGATGATCAAAGCTGAAGTAATGAATGCTTATCTTAGTTTAAACCTTTACACAGTACTYTCTGTTTGTCTAAGCAGTCAAAGCTGACTGGTCAAGTCGGCACCAGTCAGCAGCATTTCAAACTCACATGATGACATGAAGCACCACATGGTTCCTTTGTCATCACATGAGCTCCAAGAGATGGTTCATGTTTCTGCATCAGCAATTTATTTTTTCTTACCAAACAAAAAGCCCTCAGCTAAAGGTTGGGGGGAGTTTAAAGGACTGATCAAAGTCAGTGAGACACTGAGAGTCACTAGATGATGACTTAGTGCCACCTTCTGGTAAAACTTATAAACAGTTACTTTGGACTGAACTTTATTCCAAAACCTGCTGAATCTTTGATTTGTTAAACATCTTGTCTGAAACACTTTAAAAACTTAGACAACCCAGTTATCAAACAAATATTTTAGACAAATTGTAAATACTAAAAGTGACTGGGTCACGCTGCTTGAAGAAGCAACGAGTAAAGATAAGATGGTTAAAAACAACTCATAAGAAAAATATTATCAGAGGTGGGTGGCAGGTAGAGGCCACTGACACTTTTGTGTTACAAGATCTTGTGCCATTCCACAAGTTCTTTTTTATGTGTATGAGGTATTACTAATCCTATATAGCTAAAGAATATTTAAAATGCACAACAAGCAAAAACTGTATCGCCGGGGAGCCAGCAAATTTGTAGCGATGGCCTGTGCCTCCCTCCTAAGTCCCCCTTTGCTGGCGCTCCTGTATAAAAGTCAAAAGAAGAGAGAAATACAGATACTGACTGGTATGATAGGAGCTGTCAACATGTGTATGATGATCTATACACCAATAATAGTGTTTTTATGCATTTAAAAACAATTATTTAGYAGTTTTTTTGAATTGAAGTGCCTCGGTTGCTGTTAGGTTTAGTTTAGATTATCTGCCTCTTGTTGACACACTCTTTACCCTTCTTGTCTGCTGACACAGCACTTCTGTCTTCACTTTGATTTGGAGGCGGCCAAAGCTCAGGATGTTGACCCGGCAGCGCTGTGGATGACTCTTTGTGCTCCCGGTTTCCATTGTCTCCCCACTTCTGCTGCTGAAGCAACTTATTAACTTTGATATGACATCATCTTTTTGAAGCTCATTGCCCTTCGCCTGGATTGATTTAGAACTGATTAWCTGTGTCATGTTGAACGCCACAGCAAATATGTCACCCGTTTTTATTTTTAACCCTCTATGGTACACCCCAAACATTTTTTTTTCTAGCTGGCATGCGTACCGTAGAGGGTCAAATTCTTTCCCAAAAACCAAGCTAAATTTAATGAAAATAATTTWAAAAAATTATATATATTAACCTCATTTTAAAATTGCAAATAAATGCAGAGGAGCTACTGGATGATAGGTTGTTAAAGTGATCTTTTAATGGGTCAGTCATTTGTGAATTGTTTTACATCACATCCTGATAATGGCTTTATATTCCTGTTACAACAATGCATTTACACACACACTTTTCTTGATCAAACAGTGGGCAGCAACTCAGGAAAAGGAAAAGCACACTCCTAACAACACTTATTTATTTGGTTGYTACAACAATAATGTTCATTTTCACCTAAAATCTGGGGTCTGTGTCCATCCCTCAAAGTGGCACGTCAAGTTTTATTTSTTTTATCAAGTATAAAGTATTTCATTATTGCACAAACCTACACAGACAGGTTAACTAAACTAAGCAGTTACATTATTAGAAATATAGCATCATCTGAAGTTATTTCATCAATGAGCATTAATGACAAATCTCATTAACGCTAATATCATTGCACTTTTCATGTCTCCTGATTTTCCACAAATAAAACATCAAACACTTGCAAAGCAAACATATTTTCCCTGACTTATTCCAGTCTTCGCTTTCTTTCTGTGCTCCTCGAGAAATTAAAACACTGGGTAAATGAYATTTTCAACACTTTCACAGCTTTCAGTCAGCTCAGCTTAGATCAGCATTAACATTATGACCACTGAGAAGAAGAGATGACTTTGCTCATCCTGTTACAGAGCCACCCCCCTGCATCCTGGTGTTACCTGGATGTCTACCTGGACAGTCCACCTAAATTTCCAACAGTGGCCGCTTCATCCAGCAGGATAGCAGCAAGCGCCTCAAAGGCTACGAAAGCACAACCAAAGTCAGGAACAAGTGAAAATTTTCCATAATCAGACAGGATCTGATGATACTTGTAGAAAATCAAAACTAATCCACAGACACCCTTCCTGACAAATCACAGGACCTCTGACGTTTCCTGGTATCCAAGAACACCCCAAGGTAGTTTTTGGTYTCACAATTCAACACTCAGCAGATGGTCATAATGTTATGGCTAATCATTGAACATATTTCATAAGCACACAATTGTTCAACAACGAGATGAAACGACTTGATAAAGCCTAAACATTAAGTTATTCATCCAACCTTAAACCTGAAGCTACTTATCATTTGAAAAAAACTAAAAACAAACTTTAATATTTAAAATTTTAAATATCATTTTTAATCTCCATCGTGAAATTCAGAGACAAAATGAATTTCAACGCTGCGTTATTAACGCCCTTCACAGACATGTTGCTTAGTTCATTTCCACATATAGGAGGTGTAGGGATGTGGACAGGAATCTAAATAATCACTGCGAMTTTTAACAAGCAGCAGGTGCAAACTAACAACTACACACAGGTTTAGTTTCTAAATGTCATATTTGATCAGAAAGTTTATTTCACTGCTTCGGTGGGGTTAACGTTGGCGCAAAAAGCAAACATATGGCTTCTGCTCTCCTGTTGTTTTCATGCTGGTGTGGATTACTGCTGTAAAAAAAAATAAATCAACCCTCGGATCGGGTATCAGGGCAGCGCGCCCGAGTCTCTGTAACCTTATCTATGTTTTATGCCACCCTTGTCCCCGCCTGACACGACATGTGTGGGCTTTTGTTGCAGGCAGCGCCGCCGCACCCAATCCTCCTTTCATCGAGGACTTCAAAAAGGAGTGTCAYGCTGGAGCAGTTTTAACCTACAGACCAATTTCTACTCATGCAACAGCTGTGAAGCCAGAGCTGAGACTATTAAACGTAAGCCGCATTCATACCGGAGGGGATGATTTGTTAAACGAGGTGATTTAAACGAGGGTGGCGGGGATCACTTTGGTTCAAATGTTCTCAAGCGTTTTGAGAGTCAGATTTTTGTTATTTGTCATTTTTTGATTCATTAAAAAAATGCCCAAGCTGACTTATTTCMATTTTTTTCAGTTATTACTGCTTAGAGTGGTGTGCAAACGTATTAAAGGGTCATTTTGAAGTGGGGTTCTGTGTAAGAGTTTTGAAAGATAATATTAGTTGTAGAAAGATCTTTGAAAATCCTCACTTTGGAGGACGCCGGAACATTGACATAGATTTCCACTTGATTGACAACGAAGCTAAGAAAGCAAGGAAAAMCATGTTTATCTCATGTGATGTCATCATCACAATATTAAAGAATGTCATACATWGCAATTGCAAGTTTTTCTAATGGTGCACAGCCCTAGTTTCAATGTTTGTTTTCAAAATATAAACACCATTATTTAAACCAGAAAAAGACTTTGACCACGGGCTGCACCAGAAGTGATGAACAGTAGGTAGCTGCTGCYAATTGGGCTAATAATCATAGGATTCTGCTTAAATAACCGCCTAATGTGAAACTGATGATGTTCAGTTTAATAAAAACAGTGTTTACATAAATCGCTTTACAACTTTTGAGATTGGAGCTGTTTTAGAGCAATCCCTTAGCTCATCATACARATCAGGAGTAAATTTATTTTCTACAAATAAAGCAGTAGCTAGTGTTGGAGTTAAGACCAGCCAACCTGAGACTAAGTCCAGACCAAGACCRGAGTTTATCAAGACCGAGACAAAACAAAGACTTTTAGGRCCTGGACCAAGTTGAGACCAAGCACGGAATGACATTCCTCAAAACATAAAGTCCATTTCAAAACTACAGGCCTTTAAGAAGAATCTTGTCTGCCATCTGCTGGACACTTTTTGTTCTGCTCATATTTAGACGTCCTATTTTGCAAATGCTGCCTTCCTGAAATTTGGTATGCTTGTTTGTCTTTGTGTCTATGGTGTATAATGATGTGATTGTGATGCTGTATTTCTGAGTGTTTTATGTGCTGCAGCACAGGAACCTGCTGTAAAACAGCAATTATGCTGAGTCAGGCTTGATTTTTAATAATCTTTTCCTGTTAAATCAATAAATCAAAATCAAATCAATCAAGACCAGAAACAAAATAAATAAATAAATAAAACTCGAAACTAGTGTCCTAAAACGTACAGAATTCTGTACGGCTAATATTGACTAAATCTCGTGTGGGCCGGGTAAAGAGTTTTGCTACAGAGGCGGATTGCTAACGTTGGCTAGTTAGCTTTGCCAACATCAGCTGCTTACCTTTCTTTGTGCTTCCTACAAGTGAGGAYAAAAGTTTGACGTAGTCCCCACCGTAAAGGAATGCTATCTTCTGAATATCATTTTACAAATATATTCTTTATGAACTACTGTAGAATTTGCAGACATCTTCTCCTGCTCCCAGACAACCAATGCTCACTGTCTTAGAGTTCTGCATGCGARTAAAAGGGATGATGGTACCAATAATACATAATTAGCAATGAGTCACGCTTGGATTTGAATCAGTACGTTTTACATCCAGTGAAAACAAGGATGTTAAGAAATAAATTAGACATTAGGTGATTTAGTGATATTTCCACAGTTGTGGTCTTGACTGGTCTTGAAATAAAATCCTCAAGAGTCCTCAATGTCTGAGTCCAAGACAAGACCGTGATCATTTTAAGACCAAGACCAGTCTCAAGCACTACAACACTAGCAACACTTRGCAATTTATAAATTCTTCATAACCTAAACTTACACATAACCCCACTTTAAATAGGATGGAATATGACTTTAGGCCATCCCTCATTCTTTAAAATGTGTTTCTTTTCTATCAAGCATAGATTAGTTTGATTTTATTATTATAAACTGTGCAACTGAAGCTAGGATAACATCATGCACCAGTAACTGCATCAGTTTACTCCCTCACTTCAGTTTTTTCTTTTCTTTTATTTTTCTGGTTTCATCTTTCCCTCACTATTTTTTCCAGACTGTCCACTATATCCTCACCACAGACCCAGGGAACTATGTTCGACTTGAACTGAGCAGATCGCTGCATCTCCACCAGAAGCCTGTGCATGGGGAAGTCCCTCCTGGTGAARGCTATGTCCCGGGGCCCCAGAGCCAGAGAAGGACACACGTCGTTGGCCCCGTCCCCGATATAAAACACCCTCTGGAACGTAGCGCCRCCTCGCTCCGTTTGCCGGTCCGCCAAATACTCCCGAAGGATCACTTGCTTGCACATGTTGTCGGGGCAGCGGGAGCACGAGTGCGAGTGGAARGGGAGCAGCGCCAGCTCGCCCGCGGCGCCGAAACGGGCAGCGTTTGTGAAAATCTTCCTGAAGAGGTGACGCACGTTGGCRTGCTCGAGCCACGTTTGGATGAAGTACGTGTTGGCGTCGGAGACCACCACCAGCTCAAAGTCGTGCAGGTGGCTTTGCAGATACTGCAGGAGCTTCAGGAGGCCAGGAGAGGGGGGGATCTTCTTTACGGCTGAGTGGATGGATTCCATGGACACGCCCTGCTCTGCCATGAAGGTCAAAACCTTCTGCGTGTTCTCGTTGTATTGGCCTTCCCGGAAGCTGTCCGTCATCCAGGCGGGGAGCTGTTGACCCGGCAGGAGCCGTATCATGGCGTCGTCGCTGCTTTCATCGATGATGGTCTCGTCGAAGTCAAACAGCACCAAGAAGCGTTTCTCCTGCGGTTCTGAAAGGATTGGGTTTGACGGAGCTGTCATCTTTGGTGATGGTCCCTCTCTAAAATGGAAACAAAAACACTGATTATATCTAGATTTTTATTCTTAATTTTATTTAATTCAATGTTTTAAAAAATCTTGTGCTTGGAATATGTGTTAAGGATGACTCTCAGCTACTACCACACCAAACTTCAGCTCAGTACCTCTAATACTGACTGAGCTGTAGGCATTTGGTCAAGGTCGACAAGCGGTGGCAGCCATCTTGAATTTGGATCTACTCCAAAAGTTAATCAGCTGAAGATCCGGTGATTACTTTCTGTGAGATTTGTTATAATCTGTACACTCGTCTTTTGCCTTTAGTGGCAGGCCATAAAAATACCAACAGTTTGAGTCACATGTGTCCAGTCCTGAAATAAACAGGACTACATTCTCCTAATTGGACTGTAAACTGAAGAGGAAACTTTTACCATGGAACTGGTATTTAAAAACAAAACAAACACATAAACAGGATGTACATTTGTGGAAGGATACAACCTTAAATAGTTGTGCTTTCTTTCTATTCAGTCATTGGGAAGAAGAACATCTTTTCTACATAATACATTTGAGTTGTGATTTGGAAACAAATGGATATAATAAAAAAAAAACACAATTCAGGACTAACTTTTTCAATATCTCATTTATATATA